CCACTCAGACAAGACACAAGTGTCCTTCTTGCACTGAATTCCGCGGAGCTGTTGCAACTGCGCTATTCCCTAGTGCAAACGAGCCGACCTCGACTTTTATTGGATTAATTTTTCGCAACAGACCACGATCCGGCGTTTGATGTCAATAGTCCAAGATGAATGGGTAGGTGGGGGGGGGGACCCGAATTGTTGCGTGATGACGTACGAACGGACGATACGCAAGGACGGGCCTAAAAAGGATTCATATGACTATACGAAAGGGGACTTGAGGAGGCTTCGGGAGTGTGTTTCGGGTCTCGATTGGGAAGGATGGTTATAAGGGGGACACGATAGAGGTGCAACGGGAGGTCGTCAACGCGGTTCTGCAACTCTCCGAAGATTTGCGTCCTTAAGTTGCCCAAGAGATTACCTAGACAGCCGGTCTAGTTTACAAGTCAAGTAATGTCGATCGAGTAAGAAGCAAAAATGTTATTCGTGCACAGGTAATCAAGCGGACTTCGGTGAATGTCGTGTCGCTACGAAGTCATTAAAGTGGAAAGTTCCGGGCGGCGAAACGGGAAACGGGAGCGAGAGGAGCGACTGGGAATCGATACTTAGAATAATCCCAAGGCTTTTTTTTTATCGATATGCCAGCGGCAAGAGTGAACATTCCATCGGGTCCTTTCGAGACGACAAATGCGAACTAGTTGCGAATAGCGGAAGCACGAACGGATACTGAATGCTTTCTTTGCTTCAGTTTTCACGAGCGAATCCGACGACAGGAGACGACAACGGAGGTCACCTACGCGTGCATCGAGGAAATCCTCATAAAGAGGAAGAGATCATGTAGGATAGGGAAGCCTAAGGCAGGAAAGGAGGAAAGGTAACCGTCTCCGATGGGATTCTGCCTCGTGTCAGCATCATACTCTAGATAAGTATTGGTGTCATTAATAATCAAATACGATTATAGCATTTTGCATGGGGAAGTGCACTGTAGGAAGAAATGGTAAATTAGCAAACGTGATAATTATCATTAAGAAGGGAGATGAGAGCAATCCAGGTAAGTACAGGTGAGTGAGTCTCGCAATCGTGGTAAGCATCTTAAAAGGATCACCTCTTAGAACTCCTCGAGGAAAACTTGCACATCCGGAAGTCTCAGTGCTGCTTTAGGAGGCGACGAAACTGTCTTACAAATTTTCTCTAATTTTACGGTCGATGCCAGGGGTCGATGCCAGGGATAAAGGGAATCCCGTCAACATCATCTAATTATATTTAGTTTTCGATACGGTTCCTCACAAGAGGTTACCGTGTGAATTGGAGGCGCACGGGATTCAAGGTGGCGTGAGTAACTGGATGACCGACAGGTTCTTCGGGAAGGGAGAGCAATTGTAAAGTAGATTGTATTTGTAAATGGAGTACTAGCGGAAGTAGGACTTGGGAGCGATGTCCGCTCGAACTTCGTCCTGGAACCACTTATATGTTTGGTGTACATTAACGATTTAAGTCAAAGCGTTTCCGGTAAAAGCACAAATGTTCCGACGGTACGAATATATGTTTCTCCTTTAGGGAGGAGGACGAGGCGAGAGCTAGATGGATTTAAAGCTTTCGAACGAATAGAATAATTTTAAAGAATCTCCACGTTGGTCAATATACCGAATAGTCACTGAATGCGTTTTGCGAGGATGCGCTGGGGGAGGCGAATGACGAGAGAGAATTAGGATCATCATCGATGACGAACCCAAGTTCTCTTCGTAAGCACAGGCTTAGGTAGCTAAATGTAACAGGATTTTAGGTACAATCCGGCATTTCGAGGTCAGTTAGTGCTCGCGCCTTATTCCTTTGTGTGAAGACCCCATTCAGAGTATCGTCTATTATTTTGGTGGCCTACAAATAGAATAACTGCGTTGAAAAGGGTTGAGAAGTGGGCTAGTAATGATTAAGGAGGTTTGAAAACTTTCAAGAGTCGTTTGAAAGCGTTAGGACTCTATTCGCTGGAGAGGAGGTTAACAAGTAGGGACCTCATCCAGGCCTTTAAGATCATTAAGAGAATCGATAACTTGGAGCGTGGTAGGCGTTCCCATTTCGACGATAGCGGGAGAACAAGAGAGAACCAATTTAAGCAGCGTAAACCCCAAGTGAGACTCCGGTCGCGGAATGACTTCTTTACTTGCTGAGTAATGAATGCGTGGAGCGCGTTAGGTGATGATGTAGTGGCTGCCCCATCTGTGGCTTGCTAAAGAAGAGGTTAGATGCCTTCATGCGAAAAAGGGAGCAATTTAGGTGTAAGTGACTAGGTCGTGCATGGGTAACAAGACATTGTGGCCTCCCTGGCCTCTCTCGTTCCGTTGAATCGTCGCTGGAAATCGTCGCTAACTTCTTCCATGGTCTTCCCTGTTTGCGGACGTTTGTGAATCCAGACACTGGCAACAATACGTTGTTCAATAGTGCAATTGCTTATATCATTTATGATGATGTTCAACTTACCTGAAGAATTTTGAAATCAATGAAGGCTTACGATTCAGGGAAGGTGGACTCATTCTTCAAATGTCATACCATTGTATTATACTAGTAATAGAAGAACACCATCCTGCCTTTCTGAGGAAGCTGCATACGTCCATTTCATATACCGTACTGTGGTGGAGGATGTCTCTGTGAGCAGAAGTGATGAGAAGATCAGCTGGGACTTGGGGCGATATCCTCTTACCCCTTTTCCCTATTTTATGAATGGTCTGGTTCGGAGCATAAGAAGCAGCCAGATCCTGGCCGTTTACGTTCTTTACCTCCAAATATCCCTGATCCGAAATGGGAAATCCCAAGGGAAGGTATTTTGATGGAGAAATATAAGTTAGGAAGGGAAAAAGAGGAGGGTCGTAGATCAAGTGCATAATCCAGGAGAAACACATTAGGATTTACCTGCCGCGTGATTAAGGATCATAGCCGGAGTCCTGGTCCTAAATTATGACTTTCCAACGCTCTTGGTACTCCTCCAAAGGCAACAACATTATTCTCTTCCTTACCTCCTCAATCCCATCTCGTTCCTTGAAAGAGAGAATGCTTCTGCTTCCGTAGTTGGCACTTTTCGTGGATTCTTTTGGTTCCTACGTAAGTGGCTTCGCTGGAGAAAGTCAGTTTCAATGCGTCGAATTGCATGAAAATTCTCGCCTTCCCACTTTTCGAGGGGGATTCGCTTATTACGTAATCTGAGTCCGGATATTTTCTTAAAAGTATGCTAGAATTTGACCATCGGGTTACGGATACGATGAATGGCCAAAACCCCGTCAACATAATATACACGGTGTAACAAAAGTAAGGAATCATGAGAAAAAACATGCGAATCACTTCCTGCTTTGACTACTCGGAACGAACTTAATTATTTATTGATGCTGTAATGCCAAAATTATTTTACTCACAAAGTTTGGTCCAAGTGACCCAAAGTGACCAAAAATAACTCCAAATTGACCCAAATAAGACTCATTGACTCGAATTCAGCCAAATTATCCTATAGTGTCCCAGGTACCCTAAAATGGACCTCTAGTGCCCCAAATTGACCCATCAACATCAGCCTAATTATTCTATTGACCTGTGGCCGTCAGCCCTAAGTCACATCAGCCTAGCCAATTATCCGAAGAAAAGTAAAGGCTCGCATGTATTTCCATTAATGATCTAGACCCAATGAAGAATCCGTTGATTTCGCCGAGCACAAGCAGGTGACTCCCGGTCATAGCTAAATCCGCCATTCCGTCACTAATGAGAGATTACGCATTATTCTTCCGGTGCTTTTTGGGCGAGGCTCTATTATTGTGTGCTCAATTTTGAAGGCCTGCAAATTAAAAGGGGATTTAATGGCGTTGAAGGAGATTCAGAGGCTGGATATTAATGCAATAATATATTAATAGGTAAGGGGACTCAAATGCAAATGGCGTTTAAACACGCATGGACTGCATTCGCTGGAGAAGCTACTGAGAGAGGATCTCAGCGGGGATAATTTTTCTACCCAGTGACAACAGCAAAGCGACAGGAAACTAGTTCATTTTGCGTGAGCCTCACGTTACATTTAAGTTGCGGAGTTACTCTTTCACTTGTCGGGTATTGAATGCGTGGAATGCGTTGAGTGAAGATATAGTAGTGACTGCACTTTTCGTAGATGGTTTTAATGTCTTCATGAGCAAAAAAAGAAGGAAGTAATATAGTTGCAAGTAGTTAGACAGGTGATTGATACGCTTCCGCTAAAGGAGTGCAGAAGCCCCAAATCACATTAAACCGGTTATCGATCTGTGCCAGTGTGCAGAAAACTGTTGTGTCATTGTGAGAACAGCATGAACAGTCTGACGAAATGTTTTCGCTATAAGACAGCGCACCACAATAACATCACGGTGTTTGACAGCTTCTCGATGAAACATTTTAGGACAGGCAGATTGAAAGGCGAGGTCCAGGTGAATTGTTTGCTAGATCACCTCTTCTAACTACACTGGACGTTTCCATCTGGGGAATAGTCGAAGAGAGAGTTTATGCAAGGAAGCCTCGCGATGTCGGCGAGTTAAAAGGATACACCATCAATGAGTCCGAAACTCTTGGTTTATTCTTAGTTTGGGAAAATATGCCACATTCTCCTCGACTGTCATAAAAAATATGCCGATCAAGACAACACTTTATATCTTAGCTGAATGCGTAATAATGCAGTGCATTATTTTATAATAAAAAATTTAATGCCACCAATTATTAAATGAGATTGTAAATTTTTCCATCACCCTGTAGTCTTCAGAGGAGTAAACCTATCTTAATTGGGGCTCCGGACTCGGATGAGCGCTCAACCTCGACTTGGGATGCCAATGTATGCAGAAATGTCTCATTTTGGAGTTCTGTCCCTAACCTTGACATGAAATAAACACTTTTTTTAAATCGACCCGTTGATTTATGGGTCTTTTCATCGATCCCTTGAGTACGCATCCGTCTCAGATAGAAGGCCATACTTTAAGGCGTTTCCCATTCGCCAGGTGTTTTATTTTATTCCCGTTCGCGTTTTAGAGAGAAACGTTGGGAGGAATGAACGAGCTGGAAGCATGATCCTCCAGTGTCGGGGGTGAGACTGAGAAGGCTCTGGCTTCCTCATAGCCGATCGAAGACGGTCTTGACCTCGTACTGACGCTTTGCCCGCACTCCGGACACGGTCCCTTCTTCATGCTCCCTTCGTCATCGACATCGTCATCGACGTCTTTATCGTCAAGCATCTTCTCCCTCACGCATCTGCGACATGGAGATGGAGACGACGAGTGTCCACCAAAAGCATCGTACGTCATCCACCTCAAGAAGTGGTTCGAATGGATTCAAACATTCGTACTGTTCCGGACTTACTTGGAGTGAAAGAGATGAGAACAGGGCAAAGCCAGGAGTTTGGAAGGGGCAAGGAATGGCTGATTGCAAAAACCACAGGCCATTTCCAAGTCTTTCTCCAATCCAAGGCGTCGACACACCTGCTCCTTTTGACCAGCCTTGTCGCCCAGTTCCTCGTATGCCGATTCCATATGACAATGGATCGCCCTCTCCAACCCCTAATTTTGCGACGTTACAGTCCATGCGATCGAGGACGGCACGATCACACTTACATGATTACTGCATTGACGGCTTATACAGTATATCGGGTGGTGCAAAAAAAGCGACCCGTTTGACGCCTTTTTGAAACCCACTGTGGAAGATCTAGGTTGATGAAGTTTTTGCATCTCTTTGGAAATACTGCAAAATTTGTTTCCTGAAAGTTTCAATCGTCATTTAGGTTGTCTGAATAAAAATCGAATCGTTCAAAGTGCAGTCATAAAATGTAACTTTATCCACGCATAAGGTGGATGCAGTCTCAGCACCCTGCTCAAAATAATTTTTTTTTCCTTTGAGGCTGTAAAGGCTGCTTTTATTCAATGTCCTCTTCATAGTATTCTTGATTGTGTAGTGTCATTAGGCCTCAAGTGAGAAAGTAAGGCCTGAGTTTGATTATGCGTTTAGAACGTAAGGATCGGAGAAGAAAGAGTTTCCTACGAAATCATGGACTCAGTGCTGTCAAGGTCAAGTCTCTTCCCTCTCTAGCCCTTACTTTTAATGCACCCTTGAACGCAGTACCTTCTCCTCTAAAAGATACGGCATAATGACACTGCATACCTAAGAACATTCCAATAAGAATGCAGCCATGAGAAGCAGGCTTTTGTTGACAAATGGGACACCACTGCTGATATTCCTGCCTCCCGATACGTGGAAAAGTGAAATTTTCTTATCGAAATTTCAGCAATTGTTGATCTCTACCCTAGCAACCTAGAGACTTGAAAACTTTCAGGAAAGAATGTTTAACGTGTTTTCTACATGATGCAACAAATACACAAACCTAGGTTTTCTGCAGGAGGTTTTATATTAAGCCTCAAATGAGGCTTTTTTTTAGCATCAATTACTTTGAGGCCTAAAAGGCTTTACAATAATAATTATTTAAAAACGCGTCCTGTTTAAACAGGACGTGCTTTTTGCGCCACCCATATATACACATACACGTATATACGTATGTATAAAGTACCTTGCATCCCATGGACTTAGCCAAGTCGGCTGCCTTGTGAAAAAGGTATAGGGCCTTGCAAGAGCACCGTAAATCGCGATAATGTTTCTTAAGAGAGTGAAGGACCTTCGCCACTCCTGTGATTGCCAAACAAGTTCCAAAGACATCGGCATTTTGATTCGAAACCTTCAAGGCGGCCCTGTATGACACCACTGCCCTCTGTGGTGAGAAGAAAGCGAGAGAAATGAATGTCAACGTCTTGATGGACTTCGCAACCACTTGGAGTGATGGCTTTTTTGTCTCTGACCGTGTGATCGAAAGCATGACGGTAGACATCCCCCAAGCAAATAAGGCATCTGGTGAGGAGATAGACGTCTCCAGCATAGTAACACATCTTCAAAACATCCTGTAAAAACCGCGGAAGAAGGGGGGATATGATTCCATGTCTACTCCAGGAAACGAACGACTTTTGAGTAGCCAGGAGAGAGCGTTTCTCGGGACGATTCGTGAAGCGGAGAGACACCAAAGTTATGACATTTCGGGCAAGGAAGAAGTCGTTCCGTTTAATGGCTCTTTTTTTCAGTCTCCTTCTGTGGAAATCCCGACGTGGAGGGGAGGAATGTCACTTCACCACGCCACCTGTCTTGCCTTGTCAGGAGGGGCTCAAGAAACCGACTCGTAACGGAAATTCGATCCTCCAATGTCTTTTATTATAAGTTACCCACGACGCTCCATCTCCATATACTCATCGGGCAGGATGGGTCTTTCTTGCGCTTGAATTCGAGAACCTGTCAGGTTCAGTTTTTAAGCTGCTCGAAAGAATACAATCATGAAAATTTTAATTATTTAAATTTTATTGAATGAATTCATTACTAATAACTGATAATGATTTGAATATGAATATTGATAGTTGAATTATTATGGTATTACATTTTTATACTTACAGTTAAGATATGTTATCTCAACTGCATGGCAAATGCTTAGAGCGTAACTCTGCGTTTCTTTGGCATTGTTCATGCCGAAAAATATTTTGCAAAGCTTATTGAATGCAGTCATATTTCCCTTACGAAGCATGGCATTTTCGTGCTCATCACGCCTGGTAGCCTTGGGACCTTGTTTGAAATAAAATGTGAAACATTTCAAATTAACAAGCGTTGTATGACTCAAAGAAAAAATATCCGATTTGCCAGATGGGTAGAGTACTGGTCATATCCGGAAAAAATGTGTTTGCTGTACTCGCAGCAAGGGTGAGGAATGGGTAGCCTTTGTCTGAAACGCTTATTAAGGTAGACTTTTTTTTTCAAATGAGACCTTTGGGCTGCGTGGTGAGGTCACAAAGTTTGATTGTTTTGAGTCATGGTCATTGGTCAGAACTCATACATTTGCTAATAATCATTGATCATAAGCCTACTGTGTTGGCCAATAAACCTCGTTCGTTGCATCCTATCATCCAATCACCTGTTTTGCTTAAAAAAAAATTATTTATGCTGCTTAGGAGCTTCTACTACCACTCTTTCTTCCTACGTTGGCGGAAAAAATTAGTGGAACGCACCCAAAAAATTTGACGTCTCTCAGCGACTATTACTTGGATGTTCGACACATCAATGTATTCCGTTTTTGATAATTGGTTGAATTGGTTCCAACATAGTAATTTCGTTTGTTGTTGGGGGAGAGGGTGCTAAGCAAGCCACCTTTAATTGAGTCAGAGAACGCTTGTCAGAACGCTTGTCATTGAGTCAGAACGTATTCCATTTGTGCATGACACCAGTGATGATCGACAATGACTTCGTTTATTTGCTCACTTCTCTTGTCTGAGAAAGTTTATTCCAGCTATTTTAAACTTTGTTGGCATTCCATCAGTCATTTCTAAGTTATCTTCCCAGTTTGACCCAATGGACAATGTACCCGGGAATTATTTATTTTCCCACGTGTGGGATGGTCCTGAGAACATTTTTGAACTGACATATTTTGTTCCCCAACTGAATTTCAGTCTGAAGGGGCGCGGTACCCAAAATGTATTACTGTCCTTCTTCGTAAAATTCTGTTGTAACTTATCTGAGAGCGGCTTTTCTCAATGAGTAGTATAATCCACATGTGTCTTTCTATTTTCTTGAGACATGTCTCCTCTGCAACAAAAGATCGATTTCAATTTTGGACGGTTTCATGCGAATATGATAGTACCCGACAGAGAAAAGTATTGCATAGAAAAATATTCAAAAGACATCTACCAATGAAAAAAATTATCTGCATGCGAAAACAATTTGTATGTAAAAAAAAAAAAAAGGAAGATGCCAAGAAAAGTTTCTGGCGTTGATTAGGCTTGGAAGATCTCTAGCGGTGATCCTTAGTTGTGAATGTTGGCTCGTGAAAGTGAAATACTATAGACAGTGAAACTTTCTAACCTGCAGAATTTTAAAAGTTCACTCACCTTGCAGAGGGCCAAGGCAACGCCGAGGTGCTGTAGTTTACGGAGAGGAAGAACCAGATGAAGCAAGGCGAGCCGTGTATATGTGGTACGGAGATCACAGATCTGGAAACTTGACGATATGCTCACTCCCTTCTGGGCCAACTGGAGACCCCGCTCGAAGTCTCCCAATCGGGTGAAAACTTGGGATAGTCCTGCATACGCCTCCAAGGATAGACAAGGCTCGTCCGCGTATCGGCTCATCCTCAATGCGGAACTTAGGTGGTGGATGCTCTTTCTGAAACATCCCTGACAGAGTGCGGTGAATCCAAGAACCAAGTGGATCTGTCCCACGGTTCCACACCAGTCCTTGCGGGACACCCCTCGATACGTTGAGTTCCTCGCATCATTTGTTCCTCGTTGCAGGGTTCCGTTTCGAACGTCACTCCAATTAGTGTGGTCTTCGGGTGCGATGTCTGGGGCAGATGACAGGGCCTGTTGCCCGAAATGAGTCGCTTCCTCGAATCTCGACAGATAATAATGGGATTTCGTCACGAATAGAAGGGCCTCTGTTCTCGGCAGACCTCTTTCGTTTAGCTCCAGATACTTCTCTCCGTATACCAAGGATTCCCTGTCGAGGTGTCATTTTTTTCTTTGAAATTCGATGGCAAAACAAAGGATCCTCTGCTTCAACTTATCCTGAGAGAGGGGGCTTTCATTGAAAAATGAGGAAAGGCCATCAGAGAGGAAGAACGGGAAAGGCTCATAAACCTTCCTCCAGGTCGTGAATGATGAGTTTGAAATATAGGAAGAGAGAGTGTGTTCATCATCCTCTGATCCGTTATGAATGGGGATAGCCTGAAATGATTGCAGGGATGGCGCATATGCAGCCTCCCTCCTCTTCGTTCCACCAGGCGACTCACATTCATTTCCCTCTCTTTCATTTTTTTTCCTTCCTCTTCGTAATCATCCCTGCTGTTAGTCTCCGCGCGTTCTCGAACTCAGGAGACTTGAGGGAGATTTAAGTTCAGAGAAAGAGAGCGCGGAACAGATTCTTGAAAAGAAATTGATTTCAATGAAGTGGGAAAGGAGCATGAAACAGAGTAGAAGCAACAGGAATTCTCTTCCTTTACGTGCACCTCTGATGGTACCACGCAAGGAAGGGGACAGTACTTCCTTATACGGGGTGATTCAAAAGTCACTCCCTAGTTTGTTTTCTTTGTTTCCGCATCTTTTAAATATTTTAAAGTGAAATTTCGTCACATGATATTCAAGCGGTGGGAAACTTTTTTTTTAAGCCCTTGCTTTCAGTTTCTGGGCTTAGAATGGCAGAAGGCCACTCAGTTTTGCAGCGGTGCAAAATTGCAAGTTGGAAGGCCATTATTGTTCAGTGACTCTTGTATAGCCTGAATTCCGTAGACATTTCGATATTCGCGACGCTCCTAATGCCAAAACCATACGAAATACGAGTGATAAAATTTCAGAGAGGGATTAGAGATCATCTTTCAACAGTATGGGGCTCCGTCTTATTACGGACTCAGCTTGCGACAGCTCCTGAACCATCGCTTCTCTGATCGATGGATTGGGAGACGCAGTTCAATTCCCTGGGCTCCTCAGTCACCTGACCTGACCCCTGTTGATTTCTTTCTGTGGGGCTATGTAAAATCAAAAGTTTATGCTACAAAGCCGCAAAATTTGGCAGAATTGGAAGAACGCCACAGGACTGCAATGCGGAGAATTTTCAAAGAGATGTCCAAAGTTGAGAATGAGGTTGTTCGGAGGTGGCTAAAGTGCGATAAAATTGATGATGCGTATGTAGAAAGTGTAGTGAAGGTTGGAAAGTTTATTTTATTATTTTGCAACAAAACTCCCATGAGTACTCTGAAGAATGATGTATATGGTTTGCATGAATCTATTTCGTTTGTGGAGGAAACTAGGGAGAGACTTTTGAATCACCCTGTACTACGAAGGCCTACGACTTTATTTTTGCTGAGTTACTCAATTTTCATTAGAAGACAACGAAAATGAAACTTTCATTGTTAATATTGACTATGGGGTTATCGCCAACTAAATCATAATGATTGCAGGTGCCTTTAAACCGATTCCTACGCCTTCCCTAGGTTAAACGCTCATCGAATTCAGCGGCGTCCAGTCTCGAAAAGACGTCGAGAAGTGAATGATAGAATTTTATGCAGCACATAGGAACGCACCACGAAAATGGATCATGATGTTGATCATCCCATTGATGAGACTGGGACGAGGGAATATTTACTCATGTGTGACTCTGACCGGGAACGGACAGCATTTGGCAGATAGAGTGAATATTTTTTTTTATTACGGGAGACACTAAAAATCCTTTGGGTGAAATTTCGACTTTTTTGAAATGTTGAAAATTTATCAACTTGCTTATCCTTGCTAATACAAAATGGCTTAATTTCTTCATGTCATACCTCCGCCATAATGAAGATAGCTTAAGGCAGTTTATTTAATTTAAAAGGCTTGTGGAGACTTCAGGGTGTCCTATAGGCCCATAGATAGCCCGCCAGACGAAACACAGGATAGATATGCAAAAAAAAACCAACCAAATAAATATATTTACAGAACTACGTTCAAGTACGAGTCTAGATGCGTTCTTTTTCCGTGATGACTACCTATGTCAGCAAAAAAATAGGTTTTATTGATTGCATTAGAGCAGGGGTGCACGACATGCGGCCCGCGAGGCCCTTGCTCGTGGCCCACCATGACTGGTGGCGTTGTAAGTGCTACAATGGCTCCTGCCCTGTTGGCCACAGCTACGTGTATGATCAACCAGACTGCGGCCCGCCGTAGGTGAGTAAAAATCGCAAATGGCCCTCACAGCCTTTTGAGTTGTGCACCCCTGCATTAGAGCATTAACATTTCGTGAAATTAGGGATGCTGATTTCGCGAGCATGGATTGCTACCAAGATGAAGCATTCTGAGGACTTTGTTAAGAGAAACTGCAGCAAAAATTGTTACGATCGCCCCATGAAAACAGATGAGATCGGTCAGAGAGGAACGGTTTTGTCTCGAGAGTCAAAGGCTATCATTGCCTCAGAGAGTGGAAAACAAAGGAGAAGCGGGGGCTGTCCGTCTCCTCCCCTAGAGGAAATCCGACAGAAGCTTCGCAGTCCTTCACAGTATACCATTCATAAAAGTTCTCTTTATCCCAACTGCTTGAAGGACGTTCATGATGCCCATGGTGGCTATGCCTACTACTAATACGTGATAGACTCGAAATTGAGAGCATTTTAAAGAAATACTTGCTTTTTTTGCCTTCATATCCTGTACTTTGTCTGACGGGGGGGGGGGGGAGGGGGGAAGCTATCTGTCTGAGACACTCTGTATAGATGGAAACAGAGATCGTGTCACTTATTTCCCCATGTACTACGCTGCATAGACCATACATTGGATCCATCGACGTTCCTTTCGCTCCCCTTCTTTAGTCCCCTATTTCCGAACAAGGCCGTATTTAGGGGGGGGGGGGGTTCATGGGGTTCAACCCCCCCCTCCTCGAAATATCTTCCTTACATTTTTGCCATACTGCTATTCGTCGGTGTAAACGGTGCAGTATTTGGTCTTTTCTATCTTTAATAGCTCATGACTTATTAAACACTGCAACTTGCAGGAAAATCCAGATATGTCACAAAG